CATTCCTTGCAAAGCAGCTCAAGGTCTTCAGGTGAACCTTTCCTTATCTCTCCTCTTTCCACCTCACTCTCCAAGCTCCCATCCACACTGCATTGTCCCCTATGGGAAGAGAGCATTCTCCACAGCAGTCCCTACTCCCTAACCAAGGCTGTCCCCTCCGCACAAGTCTCCTCCCTCCCACCCAAGCCACCAGGCTGCCTCCCAGCATTCTCCATCTCTGCTGTCACTTCTCAGATTGACTCTACACAAAAGACTTGCAGCTGCAGGTCTGGAGCAACCAACCACTGGCAACCTGACGGGCTAAGGGCACAGAAAATGTTCAAGCTTAGCAGGAAAGCAGCGGGGAAAAGCCCTTAATCCAAACCCTGCGGAGGCAGGGAACTGCTCCAGTTCAGCCAGAGATCTGGGACTGCCAGGATACCCACTGCTGCTTGGCCAGCAAACCCAGAGGGGTTTGCAGCAGAGTGGCTCAGGCCCCCCCAGACCACTCTAGGGCAGCTCAGGCTGCTACGGCTTGAACTGAAATCTGCTGCCCCTGACAACACCGAGCAGCAAAGCCTGACAGATCCATGTGGTGAGTGGCACAGAGCTCGGGAGCCAGGCTAGGTGGGTGCTGGGATTTCTGCCACTGCCCAAGGCCCAAGAAGTCAGTGCTCATCATGGCAGCGTGACCAGCTGACAGCATCCCAGGGCACAATGATCAGCCACATTTAGGAGCACAGTACCACGTTCCTGGGCAGGAATTAGGGCATAAGCAAAGCCAGGGAAAGAAAGACCTGGGTTAGGCTGACCTAACCCTTGGGCTAGGCTGGCAGTTCAGCTCTGGGGTGCTGGTGGAAGTTCAGATGGCAGGCGCAGGGAGAAGGTGCCCATCTCCTGCTTCGTAGGACCTGCTGAAAAAGTTGTCTGGGTATGCTCAAAGAGTGCCACAGCAAACGCCTGCCAGGCACCAGCCACACCACCTACAGCCACGAGAGCTAAATTAGCACTCAAGCACTCAGGCACTTGTACTCACAATGCCTGCAGTGAGCTGCGTGCCGTGCTCCTCATAAACAAGTCATCTGGAAAATAAGTAAGCCTGTAAAAATCCAGTCCATCACAAGTTACCAAACCTGTTTCAGAGTAAAACAACCTAGAGCAGCTCATGCCAGAAGCCTAGCAGTGAAGCTGATATCAAGCTTGCCCACCAGTGGGACTCCCTTGGTCCCAGCAAAACATCCTGGCACTGATAGCAGCATGGGGATGCCATGTAGGACTTCGTGGTGGCCAAAGCTGGCAAAGTATCAGAGTTTTTGGTACAGACTTGAGATCCATCTCTTCCTGTGCCCCTACCAAGCACTCAGCTTTCCTCCTTCTCATAATTTAGAAAGCATGAGTTGGCCTTATGTGGGGTGCTGCCAAATAAGAAAGCCCAAACCCATTGAACTGCAGATGGAGCCAGCAGCCTGGTCCCTGTCCCCCTGGATTTGCTGAATATGCACTGCTCCATGGACAGTGCTGGATGCTGCTCCTACACACCTCCAGGAGGATTCCCAATGTTTTCCTCCAGGTCTCAGCACCACAATGCATTTTCTCCCACTTAATGTTCAAAGCCACCAGATATCTTCAGAATATGAAGGGATTTCTAGGAAGCTAGGACAGGGAGAAATTGATCTCCTTCCCCCAAAACAAAACAGAAGCAGAGCCTCTCTACCCAAGACATTTCCACTGGTGGCACCTCTAGCTGAGGACGGGTAGGTGGGAAACCTCTGAGCAAGCTCAGATGTACCTGTCCTCAATCAACCATGTCCCCCACAAAGACAGGGCAACCACAGTAATACCCCACAAGTGAGTCTCTTTCTCTGACTGCTGACTTCTTACCCATACTCCAGTCCCAGCAACGTATTTTTCCCCTTTTTGGATGGAGAAAAAATAAAAAGCAACACATCAACCTCGCACTGGAGCAACTTTCTTTTCCAGCCTTAGAAGCAGGTTCCCCCATGCAGGCAGGAGGCAAATGGCTAGGGCAGCAAAGGCAAAGATGGAAGAAAAACTGTTTCATTTTGAGACCTTGAAACAAAAAGAAGCAGCAAAAAAAAAAAAAAAAAAAAGAAAAAAAAGAAAAAAAAGAAAAAAAGAAAAGAGGGTGCCTTGTTGGCTTTTCTTTCCTCCCCTCTCCTCTTTAAGCACTACAAAAACAGGAAACAAAGGAGAAAACATCTCACGGGGGGAAGGGGAGGTAAGCGCTTTATACGCCCACGAAAGAAAGATTAACCACATATTTTATTTACTGTTTGTATTACGGTTGCACCATGGAGTTCAACTAATTCCGAGCCAGGGCTCTGCGGGTTTGTGCAGCACCTAATGCTGAGCGGGGTCCTTCCCCCAAACCCACCAGGCGCATGTTCTGCTTCAGGCAAACCCTGCACGGACACCCCCTTTCCTCTGGCAGACACCCACCTCCAGCCTCCTTCACCCAGCCAGAGCACTCCGGCCCCACCTGCCAGCTCAGCTGACAAAGTGCTGGTGCTGTCCCCAAGGAGTTTTGAGCCCCTTTTCCCCTTCAAACCAGTCTGTAACCAGGGGTAAGGTGCCCTTTGAGGGAGGCTGGCAACACAGCCAGAGGAATAAATGCTAAAAAAGCAGAGTTTATGGGGAGCATGTTTGCAGGCTCCAGTCCCTCCTCCGGACCATGGGGGACATCCCCTCCACAGCAAGTTGGCGTTGCAACCCCCACACTTGCGAGTCCCTCGCACCAAGGTCAGGGCTCCGATCCTCCCAACTTTGACTCATTTCTCAATTAACGGCTTTCTGAACACAAGCCACACACGGAACAAACCTCTCACAATGGGGCCTCCCCCGGACCTCCCAAGCCCAGCGTTACTCATCTGCCCCCCAGTCCCAGTCCATCTTTTCTCAGGATGCTCCAAGTGCACTCACTGCCGCTGCAGGGTGAGCAAGCAGCCAGGAATCCCGGGCCCGGCTCCCGCCGGCGGGAAGCCATCACCAGCTGAGCTCATGCACCCTAATTCGGGAGCCGACGAGGCAAGGCCACCTTCCTTGCTGGCTGGCAACCGGCAGCTTTCAGCTGGAGACCCAGCCACAGCCATGGAGCAAGGGCTGGCAACCTGCTGGGTGCTTTTTCCAGGGGCTCATCCCTACTCCAGCCACTTCATGGAAGAACTGATTCAACTGATAGGGAGGATCCTTTGGGCACACCGTCCCCCAGCTTGGTGCTGTCCTTCACTGACCCAGACTCTGTGCACCCAACCGAGCCACGCGCCCAGCGGGAAGAGACAAGCTTATCATCACAGAGAAAGGAAATTAAGATAATGTGGCGATGGAGGTACCAAGGGATTTGGCCAAGGTCACAAAATAATTCCATGGCTCTACGATACAACTGTCTAACACTTTTGGTGTCTGGCCACATATCCTAAAATTTCAAGCTAGGGCCAAAATCCAGCCTAGGCAGTGGCAGATTTCTGCCAGGTCATTAGCAGTGTGCATCCGCAAGAAGCGGCGAACATCCAGCCATAACAACGGCAGTAACAACAAAAAAAACATGCAGCAAGAGCGGGAATAAATGAGATCAAAGTGTCCTGGAAAAGGACCTGGAAAAATAGTTTCGGTCCCTGGCTAAGGCTCCTGGGAGATGCACATGAGAACCCCATCCCAGCCCTGCACAGCCCTCCCGAGGTGGCTCCCCACCCTGGCAGAGGGAAACCAAAATGACTCCCTATAAATAGAAGCAGAAAAGCGCTTCTCCAAAAGACTGACTGGGTCTTTCCCCTTCCAGCGTGTGTGGCGGAGCTGCTGGCACCTCCACGGAGGTCCCTGGTTTTCCCCCAGAAAACCTGGAGAGGAAAATAACCTTCCTGTGAGCTCAGGCTAGCTCCTCTCTACACAGAGCTGCACCCCCCCGCCCCACTCCCAGGCCTGGCCATCCAATTGGAAAGTAATTATACTGCAATTTTTATTTATGACTTCTTCGGTTTTTTTTATTGCTAAATGGTGACTCATTTTGGCAACATTAAAATACACAGGAAATCATCCCCATTTTACAGTAATCACCATTCAATTCATTGTTAAATATTTATTCGGCAGACAAGCGCCGAGCCTCTTTCGAAGGGTCGGAGGGGGAGTGGAGGGGCAACCCTGAAAAGGAGGAAGGTGGTAGAAGGGTCAGGGCAGGGCTGGCCGCAGGGCTGGTAAATGCCCGCCAGAACTGGAGGGTGGGGAGCCAGTGGTGAAAGCTCCTGCCAGATGGCCTGGCCAAGAGCAAAATACAGACCCGCTTTCCCTCGAATCCAGCACAACAGCCCAAGCTGCTCTAGGGAGAGAGGCAGCCCTGTGCCCCCTAATAAAAAATCACATTATTTGGCCAAACCCCAAGACTGAATCCCCACCAGTGAGACGTCATGGGTCTCTGACACGTCATGGGTCTCTGACACGAAGCTCTTCCATTGCCGGGGGGAAGAGGATGGCGGCCACCGGCCCCAGTGGGAGGCAGTGGGAAGAGCAGGCAGTTTGACATTCACAGGCCTTACAATGGACAGGGTTTGCTCCTGCAGCCACTTTGTCCTCCCAGGAAGCCAAATTTTGGGGTGACTCGACCTCAGCTGCAGGCAGCTCTTCTGCCTTCCCCAAAACAGCTGCATAGCCCAGCACAAACCTGGCAGACAGCCCCTCCAAACGCCTCTGGCCCAAGACTGCAACCCTTCCCTGCAGAGTGCACATCCAAGGGGCCGTAGGTCCCACAGCTCAACAGCTACAAAGGCCCCCCCAGCACAGACACCTTCCCCGGGGAGCCCCCCTGGCACCCACAGGCTCCGTCACTGCTTGGCTGGGAGACCACCCAACATGTCTGCCACAGGGGGACCCCGGGCGGAAGGAGGAGCAGTGCCAGGATGGATTTTGTGTAGGTCCTACACAAACACAGGGGAACAGACATGGCAGGGAAGAGGGTGGCTGGGCGGTCCCCAGGCTGGGCAAACCCGAGCGTCCAGGATGGTTGGACTCACCCGGATCTCATTGCGGCGGATCTCCACGTCGCAGACCGAGTGTCCCTGGTGGGCCCCGCTGTAGTAGCAGCAGAACTGGCAGACGGCCACCTGCTCGGCCTCGCAGTGGTACAGGCGGTAGGCGTTGTGCTGGGGGCAGCTCCAGGCCCGCACGTCCTCCGCCTCCACCAGGAGATGCCCCCGGGCCGTGGAGGGCTGCTGCAGGTGGGTCTGGACGTGGGACTGGCAGCACGGGGCCTCGCACCTCAAACAGATCTTCTGGGCCGGCAGCGGCGGGCCCCGGCGGCAGAAGACGCAGTGCAGGACTGAGGGGGGCTTCTCCAGGTTGAGGGAGTTGAACTTCTCCACGATGTTGGTGAGCTTCAGGTTCTTCTCCAGGTTGGGCTTCTGGTTGTAGGCCTGGTTGCACTCCGGGCACCGCACCAAGCCCGACTCCTTGGCCCACGCCTCCCCGATACAGCCCCGGCAGAAGTTGTGCTTGCAGGGCAGCTGGACCGGCTCCACAAAGACATGCAGGCAAATGGGGCAGATGAGCTCCTCTTCGAAGCAGTTCTTCCAATTCTCGGCCATCTCTGCCGGCAGCTCTGTCGACGCTTCCCCCCAGCCGCTTCGGTCGCTCAGTGCGGTCTAGGGGCGGACGCCGGGGTCTGTCCTCCCTGAAAGGGGAAGGCTGAGGTGAACGGACAGGCTCCCCCCCTCCCCGCAGCACACGCCATAAATAATAAACCGCAGCAGATTTTAAAATCGGGGATAAAATAAGCCACAGAGCAGCACTCTAGGAATATCCGGCAAGAAAACGCAACGTCCCCATCGCTTCGTTAAAAAACAACACAAATGGTCAAAAAAACCCCAACATGATCCTGTTGGACTTACAGCCCGAAGTCCTAACCACCCCTAAAAGCCATTCGCTCCTTTTTACCCCAGAAGGTGAACTGAAACTTACCAAAGGTTGAAAAAAATCCATACAAAATCCAGCAGCAGAGTCCAAGTTCCATATAAAGCTCCTAAATTTAGCGCTCCGGATCAGATTTTTCTTTTCTTAGGTTTGCAACTGACATTCAATATTTTAAAGGGACTTTTGTCCCCCACCAAACCTGGCCAACAGCTGAGGGCAGCGACTCGCTTGGGCTTTTTTTTTCCCTTCCCTGTATTTCTCCTCCCTCTCCCCCTGATGGGAGTTGGGAATCAGAGTCTTTTAAAGGAAACAGATCAAAGGGTTAAGATCCAAAACGGGAAAAGGAGGAAGATTAAAAAAATAATAATAATAGCGACGATGACGATGGCGGAAAAACGAATTCTCTCTGCGGCCCCCGAGATTTGCTTCTAAATCGGAGGAGCAGCAGGGGAAAAAAGGAAGAGGGGGAAAAAAAGACAAGACAGGAAAAAAAAAAAAAAAAAAAAAGAGAGAAGAAAAAAAAGCTCTCTCGCCTGCTTCGAGATTGCGAGGTCTTGAATGGGAGAGCTCGGTCATTCAGAGCAAACGCCAGCCCAGCACAGCCCGCCCAGCTCCTCCAACGCTCCCGGAGAGGGATGGGAGAGGGGACGGGCTTTGCCACGGGGGGTTCTGAGCCCCGCGGACCCCAAATCAACCTGCTCTCACTTCCCACCAGGGCTGGGGGGAAAAAGGCGCCCGGAGGGTCCGTCCTAGCCCACTCTCATGGCCGGCCCGGGGGTCGCAAGCCCCCGACGGTAACAATGCTTCGGGGCGCACGGACGGCGCCCGAGCCGGCGGCGGAGCGCTGCCTTCCCCGGCGCGGCCCCGCCGGGAAGGGGCGAGGCGGCGGCGGGCAGCCGGGAGGAGTCGGCCGGAGCGAGCGGTTCCGGGAGAGCCGAGTCAGCTCTCAGCCATCTTGAGCTGCCCGGCTGAGAACGGAGACCGGGAGCGCGTTAAAAATAAAATTAAAAAATAAATAAATTAAAAAAAAAAAAGGAAGAAGAAGAAAGGGTATTTAAAAGAAGAAATTATAAATAAAGTCACCAGAACAACCCCGCTCCCGGGAGCCACCTCCTCCGCCTGCCCAGCGAGGCTCTGCGGAGGGGCTGCGGGGCCAGACGAGCCCGAGCCGAGCCGTCCCGTCCCGGCGGGGCCGCTCAGCACAGCCCCCCGCGCCCGCCCCCGCCGCCTCCTCCAGCCATCTTGGGGTCGCCCTGGGCGCCGGAGCCCCACGCCCCGGCTTCCTCCCGCCGCCCCCGGGGAGGCGGCCGCGGCCGGGGAGGGGGTGGGGGGGGAAGGAACGCGGAGCGAGGCGGGTGGGGGCGCGGAGCCCCACAGCGGGAAGGGGAAGGGGGGGCGGCGCCTCGGGCTCAGCCCCGGCGCGGGGGGCCGGGGCGGCGGCGGGGGGCGGGCGGGGCGGCCATGGGGGCGGCGGCCGCGGGGATCGATCAACCGGGGAAAGGGGTGCGGACGGGCGCGCCCCGCCCCGCTCGGGAGCCGGCCGGGGTGGGGGGCGGAGCGGAGGCGCCGGTGCCGGTGGGTCTCGCCGGGCGCTGCCGCCGCCGCCGCCTCGGAGCTGCCGCTGTGCTGCGGCGGGAGCAGCCCCGCCCCGGCCGCGGGACCGCCCCGCGCGTCACCGGGCACCGCCCCCGCCCCGCCCCGCGGCCCCGCCGCCGTAAAGGGGACACGGCCCGCGGTGGGGCCCGGCGCCGATCTCCGCCGATCTCCGCCGCTGCCTTCGAGGAGGCCGCGCTTTGCGTGTCCCGTCTGGCCACTGCATCGGCCGTAGGGCCCCCCTGCCCGGCCACCAACGTCCCTACGCGGCCCGCGCTGCTCAGGGTGCCAGTCCGTAAAAAGGCTGATTGCCCTGGAACCAGTGCACATCTGGGTCACAGCTGGTGCTGGGCACCGTCCTCATCGCTGTGTACAACTTCCTCGCGGGGGGAACAGGAGGGGCAGGCACTGGTCTCTTCTCTCTGGCAGCCAGGGACGGGACCCGAGGAAATGGCCTGAAGTTGTGTCAGGGGAGGTTGAGGTTGGGGTTGGATATTAGAAAAGGTTCTGATTGGGCACTGGAACAGGCTCCCCAAAGAAGTGGTCATACCACCAAGCCTGCCTGAGTTCAAGAAGCATTTGGAAAACACACTCAGGCACACTGAGGATGTTTAATTCTTGAAGATGTCTTGTGCAGGCCAAGAGTTGGATTCGATGATCCTTGTGGGTCCCTTACAACTCAGAATATTCTGGGATAAGTGCCCTCAAGAGCCTCCTGTGTCCTCTTGGCTGGCATCTAGATGGGCTGTTACTTTGCATTTAGATGCATTTCCTCCCTGTGCAGAGCCACAGCCGTTTGTCCCCTGGGGTCTTTCCCAAATCAGAACCCCCAGCACCTTCTGCCAGAGCTCGGGGCACAGAGGTGTCTCTGTTAACAGCTCTCCCGCCAAATGTTTTCCGCAGCTGTTTTGTGGGACACTGTATATCTAACCCCTGCCATATGTGCCAAGCTGCTGGGAATAAAGCACGTTTTTGGTGGAAATCCATTTTGCACTGGCAAGAGCGTCAATGGCTCAAAACAGAGTATTTACATCAAAAAATGCTCAGGGTCCATAGTCAGGTTTGTGGTGGAGTGACAAGAGGGCAAAGGCTCAGTGAGCAGCTTCGGGATCTGGCCCAAACCTGACCCTTGGGTGACGCTCTCTGATTGCAATTTGCCTCTGGGAGGGATTTAGCAGGAATTCCCCATCTGCAGCCTCAAACTGTCTGAAGACACCACTCAGCAGTGTTTGCTATAGCACCCTATATCCCAGTGCCTTGGACCACCCAGGGCAGCCTGCTAGAGGGATGAGCATTCCACACCACTCCCAGTGTAGGGATTATCCAGGTCTTTCCACGCTGTGTTTTACAGGAACCCCCTGTGTGTAGGCAGGCCCTGCCTAGAGACACTCTGATAAGGAGACAGTGATGGCTTCTGCTGGGGCTCCCCCCGTGTCACCCCTTGGCCGCCCCCCTCCATCCCTGCCCTCCTGGGGCTCGAGTGCTGATTCCTGAAAAGGGAGCGGTTTGCCATGCATTTCCTGTGCCAGGCCTTGGAGCCCATGGGCTGCACCTCTCCTCCAGGGTTTTACAGCCAGCCGGCAGCCAGGGCTGGTGGGAGCTGGGCAGGGCAGCATGAGTTGTGTCAGAACCGCAGGCGACTGGCGGAGGCCGTGTGGAGGCAAACCTCTCCTCGAAAAGTCAGTGCAAAACTATTCATGACTCTCACTTCTCTATAAACACACACAGTACCAGACAGCCTCCAGTGACAGCCACCATCCCCACCCCAGCCAGCACAGGGCTCTTCTCAGGCCCCCTGTACTCCCACTGTGGCTGTGCTGGGAAAGCTGGTTGGTATTTACCAGTACTTAAAAGAGGAAGGTGGATGGGATGGGGCTTAGCCAAGCTGAAAGATCCACCCTACTCCTTGCTGAGAATCCCTCTGTCCTGGGACTGGCACTCTGTCATCATACCCACATCTGGATGATGCCATCTCCCTGCCCATGCCAGAGAAACTCCCTTGGCAAGGGAAGCCCCAAAGCCAGGCTGGGCATTGCAGCCCTTCCACAACCAGCGGCAGCTGCCTGGAGGAAGGCTGTAGACAGGTTTCCCTCTGCCTACACAGCTCCCAAACCTCTTCCTTACAGTGCTGGGTGGCTGATGAACAGCAGCAGGAGCATGCTGCAGAAAGCCTGCCCATGCTTCAGTCTCCCCTCCACCAGCATCTTGGTATGGGTCCCAGACCACACCAAGGGGCCACAGAGGTGGTTTGTAACTGAGCCCTGGTGTTCATCCCTCAACCTCCCCTAAGCCTCAGTTTTCCCAGGCAGAGGGGGGAAAAGACCACTTCCTGCCCCCTGTCTCCCCAGTAAAGTATCAGCATCTCTGCTGAGCCTCAGTGAGCACTGGCGTGACTGCAGGTACCCCCTGCAGAGCCACGATGCTCAGGCACTTGTCACTGGTGTCTGGCATTGAGGTGGCATTGCCTGGTACAGATGATGTCCCTGGGAGCAGGGATGAACTTGGCTGCTCTGTAGAGCCAAGGTACCAAACTCATTTTGGTGTTTGGGGCTTGGGACCCTGCCGAGCTGATGGTAGAGGGAGGGTGTTTGCAGAGGTTTACAGAGCAGTTGGCTGTTAATATGACACCATCCCTGTCTGCCACCACCCTCCCTTGGGAACACTCTTGAAGGCTCTGGCACCCAGCTCTGCACCTTCCCCAGAAGCCTTGAGCCCTCTGGAAGTGATACAAAGTGCTGTGTTTCTTGGGTAATTTATAACACAATTAACCCATCAGAGAAAAAACATCACTCCCGTTCTTTCCCCTTCCATGTCAGGCTGGTGAGGTGTCTCTGTGTGATGGAGAAAGCTCCCTCCACCTCCTCCATGTGATTAACATGCTGAAGGTTTTCACTGAAGTTTAAGTTTTAAGCTGGGTTTAAGGATGTAAGGAACTTGCAGGGCAGCAACAGTCTGGTTTCCAACACTAAATCTGTCTGCTATGGCCATCCCCTGTTCCTGTTTGTGGTGGAGGAGGAGGGAAACAGCCCCATGGAAGAGGCACAACACAGAGGTCCCCATGTCACCTGCTGGCCCAGCCCAGGACACACCACCAACATGCACCACTTGTGCCCAGCCATGCCATGGAGTCACACCTGTCCCTCACACACTGTCACCTGCCTGCTGTGGCATCCTCCCAGCCCAAAACCTTTTGGGAGAAGATGCACATATGTGTATGCAGTGTGTCTGCAGGGGAAACCTCCTGTCTGACATTAATAAAAAGGGACCAGAAGCAGGGTGTGCAGCCTAGTCCCCACAGCACACAAAGCAGGTTCCCAGCCCCACAGGCACTGGGATCCAGCGACACCCACATGTGACACTGGAAGCTGGGAGCAGGTCTGGAATGCTGTGCTGGGTGCAGGGATGGTAAGGCCCCATGAGAGAGCCTTACCCTTGTGCAATGGGTGTGCAACTGGGGCTCCTCTTGGGGCAAAAATGCTGGGCTTTCTCCCTTCCTCCCTGAGCCTAAAGCATGAGCCAAAGTGGATATTGAGGCCTGGCCAAGGGGGACTGTATGTCAGGGTGTTGGAGGGGAGCTCTGCTTTGGTTCAAGCAAATCTGGGGTGTAACAGCTCAGTCTGAGGTTGACTGGCCAAATCCAGGGGTGCACAGCCAGCCAGCTGTGGAGCAGGGATGATGCTCCAGGGCTCACCCCCTTGGCTGAGCTCGGGGTGCTGCTGGGTGCTGGTGAGTGCGGAGCGGGTCCGGCAGCTGCGGGGCTGGAGCAGGGGGAGCCGGATGAGGGCCGGTGTAGTTCCCTGCTTGGTGGGGTTTCTTTCTATGCAAATGCCTGGGAGCAGCTGCC